GTCAACCTTAAACAATAATCTAACGATCTCTACTGATTGTACGAATACAAACATCGGATAAATTCTTTTATCTTTAGGGAAAGATAATGAAATCTAAACAAACACAAGTCCTAACTAAAAAATAAAACCGAACGGGAAACTACTTTAAATACATAATGGTGTCCAATTTTTTACTGTATTCAATAAGTAAAAATCATAAATTGTAAAAGATTATTATTACAGAAAGGCTACTAAATGAATAAGATTTGTTAGATCATAATTAATAAGCCCAAATAAAGTTAATATTTTTTGTATTAGAAACAACGAGTGGAAAATATATTCAAATCAGAATTCTAATTATGAATCACCACAAGCAAAATATGCAATTTTTTTACTGTATTCAATAAGTAAAAATCATAAATTGTAAAACTAAATGATTACAGAAAGGCTACCAACATTTTTCAACAAAACTTCACTTTTTTTTTGGCATGTAGTGTTTCTTATTGTCTTGCATACTTTTTTCTTTATTTTTACATTCAGAATGCTTTAAAATGTTTTTGTTTGAGTTTGGGTTTGACCAATTCGTAAAAAATAATAAAAAATAACTAATTAAGACATGCGTGTCCGTCAACCTTAAACAATAATCTTTGTCAATTTTATTTTTCAGTCTTTATGATGGTCGATACTTGATCTATCTCTTACTGTTACATCCCCGGGCAACGCCGGGCTCTACTGCTAGTATATATATATTTCTTCTTTTTTTTTTTGGCCTCAGCTGGCTTTTAAAATTTGTTTTTAAGCCAGTTTCATTTTATATTTTCTTATTAACTTGATGGGTTTGAAAATCCCCCAATTTGTGGGGTGAAATGATCATAATCTAGGAGTAATCTTAATTTCTACTGTATGTAATTATTATATATATATATATATATATATATATATATATATATATATATATTAGTAGGTCTGATAAATTTGATCGTGATTATGATTCCAATGTAATAAATTATAACCATGGAATATTAGTGTTTGTGCTTTTTATATTATATCCTTACTCTGCCCTGGACATTGAGCTCTACCTTGATTCTATCCTCTTGAAATTTATATATATATATATATATATATATATATATATAGAGAGAGAGAGAGAGAGAGAGAGAGAGATAGATAGATAGATAGATAGATAGAGATAGATGTATTGACCACTAATATTATCAATCAATCTATCTATCCATATATATATATATATATATATATATATATATATATATATAATATATTAGAATAAATCCAACGAAAAAAGCTAACTAGGTTTCACCGAAACGGATCTTCAGGGTAGCCAGTTTACCTTGAAGATGTGCTGAGGTGAAACCTAGCTCATTAGATTTATTCTAATTTACTGCTCTACTTAGGCTATTGAGCCCTCTGCGTTTTCGTTGTCTTTAAACTCGCTTTTTTTCCCTTTGGACTAAGGGCTTAAGACACTTAATGATTTTTTTTCTCCTTGTTCTGATTTTGTTTTTTAGTTCTTTCTTTTTTTACTTCCAATATTTTCATCGGGTACCAATTTGCCCTCAGGTGTCTACAAGTTAAATCATCCGAGGTTTTTCACGCGAGTAATACTATTATTATTATTAATAATAATAATAATAATAATAATATATATATATATATATATATTTTGTTCGGTCTAGTTAATCTTGGCTTCGAGCACTTTACTGAGTAGGCAAATTTCCTTTCAGGCCTTTTTTCTCTTTCTTTTTTTTCCGTATTCTCGGTTTTATTCAAGACTGTACCTGGTTATGAGTTTTAGGTTTAAGCAAGTTGTCTTTTGTTTCCACCAACTGTTTTTTTTATTCTTTAATATATGTGAGCGATATCTACCATAGATAGATATATATAAATATAATATGAAGAAAGATAGATATGAACAACCTCGAAATAAAGACAGAAAGCATTGCCGGAAAGCTTATCAAATACGAAAAAAAAACATGTCACGATATACCATGGGTAACAATAAAAAAAAAAAATAAATAAAAATAAATGGCCAATATTATTATTTGGAATGAAAACGACAAACAGAAAAAAATAAATTAAAAATTAATAAAATGCTCTTCTTGTTTTTAGTTTGTTTTTTTTGGGGGTTTTTTTGTTTTTTTTTATTTCTTAATATGCGGCCATTTTTTATCACATTTTTTCTTTTGTCTTTATTTATTTTGTTATTATTTCTCTGTACGTCTTAATTGCCTGTTTCTTTTCCGGAGATGATTGATTTCGAGCGAATTTTTCAGTCTCCACTTAGATTCTGTAGAAGCAACTTCAACTCAAATAGTTTATTTTCTTTTATCAAAACCCTCATCACTTAACTTTTTTTTTCCTCAATGATGCTTTTCCTTTTATTTTTCTGTGGATTTCGAGGATCATTTAGAACATTCCATGTAATCATTTCTTTTGTTGTTTCTCCATTTTGTTGTTTCATTTTTAACATATATTTTTTATATTTCATCGTCATTTCAGTCATTCCCTTTGTTTTTTTGTTTTTTTTAAATATCTTCCATTTCTTCTTCAACTCTTTCGTGTCTTCCTCTAGAATTTTCGTTTTTCCACCATATTTCATTTCTTATTTGATTCCATCATTTTCCAAGGATTTTCTTCCTTTTAATCATCATGTTTGCGCCAATGAGTTCGCATTTCTTGTATAGCATAAATATTTCTTCATTTCTCTTTCTCCGTTGTATTATTCTTTTTCTTCGTCCAATGCATATATTTCATTATTCTTCACCGTCAATGAATTTTATAAATAAATTTTATAGATGCAAATACGGAGGTAAATTAGTCATAAACTATATATGCTTACTAAATTAGTTCCGATGGTGTATAGAATAAACATGAATAGTTGAGAACAATATCCTGTAGCTATTGTGCAAAAACAAAAATGTGTTATTTTACCATGCAAATATCTGTATATGAAAAAAGAAAAGTCACTCTTTATATAAGGATCGAAATAAAAACCTGATATATATATATATTTTTAATTATTACATGGAACGTACTTTTTCAATACTTGCGGTAAAATAACAATTAATTTTAAAGTCCCCATGTTGTTAGATTTTCTTAGAAGATTGCTCAGTATCAGTGTGGGTAAATTTATGTACAGATTTTACACTTTTAAAAGCAGTTTAGATCCTAACCATATGGGATAATGTATGCGGAAGCGGAAGCGGTAAAGAATTTTTTTTTTCCTGTCTATAGAAATGAAGTTTTAAATGGCTGGAAATACTGACGATCGTTTGACAAGATTCCATCGAAGATTACTTCTCTTCAAAAGTTCTTGTCAATCGCGAACTTCTGCAGATCATGGTTTAAGAAAATCATAAACAAAAGGCATGAGATCTATTAGATCAATTCAATACAATTTACACTACGATCAAAAACATAAAATATAAACACGGAAACATGTTTAAAATTAGAATCTATCTATCTATCTATCTATCTATCTATCTATCTCATTTTTGTTCATTATCAATCTATCTATCTTATTCTGTTCATTATCTATCTATCCCAATCTGTTCATTATATATCTATCTATACAAATCTGTTCATTGTCTATCTATCTATCTATACCAATCTCTTCATTATCTATCTATCTATATATACAAATCTGTTCATTATCTATCTATCTATCTATCTATCTATCTATCTATCTATCTATCTATCTATCTATCTATCCCAATCTGTTCATTATCTATCTATCTATCTATACCAATCTGTTCATTATATCTATCTATATATACAAATCTGTTCATTATCTATTCTATCTATCTATCTATCTATCTATCTATCTATCCCAATCTGTTCATTATCATCTATCTATCTATCATCTATCTATCTATCTATCCCATATTATATATCAAATCTCTTCATTATCTATCTATCTATATATACAAATCTGTTCATTATCTATCTATCTATCTATCTATCTATCTATCTATCTATCTATCTATCCCAATCTGTTCATTATCTATCTATCTATCTATCTATCTATCTATCTATCCCACTCTCATTATATCTATCTATATCCTGTTCATTATCTATCTATCTATCTATACCAATCTATCTCATTATCTATCAATCTATATATACAAATTATTATTCTATCTATCTATCTATCTATCTATTCATCTATCCCAATCTGTTCATTATCTATCTATCTATCATCTATCTATCATATCTATCCCAATCTGTTCATTATCTATCTATCTATCTATCTATCCCAATCTATTCATCATCTATCATCTATCTATACCAATCTCTTCATTATCTATCTATCTATATATACAAATCTGTTCATTATCTATCTATCTATCTATCCCAATCTGTTCATTATCTATCATCTATCTATCTATCTATCTATCTATCTATCTATCTATCCATTCATCTCTCACTCTATCTAGCCCAAT